GGTCCTAGCTCGTTAGGTCTCACCGTGTTTGCATCCTGCAGATTCAGTCACTGAGATATGTGGTTCAGAAAGCACTGGCTGGTCACTACAGTGTGAAACAAGAAATTCGGATCTTTTGACAATCATTGAAACTTTTTCTCCTCAAAGTTTTTAGACTTGATTGTGCCGGCTCTAGTACGTTCTGTGCTTTCTTGAGTGGTGGCCACTTGTCACTTGTCAAAGGACTGGAAATTGGGCCTGTCGGGTGTGGCACGGGACAGGCCTAGTGGCCCTCATTCAAAACGTGTGGGACCCGAAGAAGTGTTTCCGGTTTTGAATTTTTTCGTATTTTCAAATGTTCATGTTTTGCATGTATCGGATCAGCAGGATAATGCAGTGAGCATTTCTTTGAGCATCATCTCAGTGCTCAAAACGTTTTGGACTTTGGAGCGTTTTGGATTTCAGATTTTTGGATGAGGGATGCTCAGCCTGTAGTTAGCGGTCCCCAGCGGTGACCAGCTTTCCTGAACTTGCCTTTTACATGGCACTTCCAGACAGCTTTTGTTACACACCAGCCTCCCTGCAAGCCTCCCACCACGAGAGGGAAATACATGCAAATGAATGCAAATGAAATCCCATCAGAAAAGGGGCTCCTCAGCTGCAGTAGCCTCATCAGAGGCGTGGCCTCGGGCAGGTGAGAAAGACAAGCACGTTTCCATAGTCCCAGAGGCTTCTTTCTGTTGGATGGCGCCGCTCCGGGCTGTCAGTTTCTCAGAGCTTCCTAAGAGGCTCCATAAACGTGTGTGTGAACTCTCACATTGTTTGTGTTCATTGGCTTTTGGTTTTGAAACATGTTGCGTTTTTTTGGATTCATGATGGTTTGCAGATGCTTGATTTCCTGAAGGGGAGAACCTGACAAGCCTGTCTTCTAGATCAGTGGTCCCCAACCTTTCTGGCACCAGGGACCAGCTTCGTGGAAGACAAGGTTTCCACGGACTGGCAGGCTGGGACGGGGATGGTTTCAGGATGATTCAACTGCATTTCATTTATTGTGCACTTTATTTCAATTATTATTGCACTGTAATACACAACAAATTAATCATACAACTCACCACAATGTCAAATCGGTGGGAGCCTGAGCTTCCCTGAGCTTGTTTTCCTGCAACTAGAGGGTCCCCTCTGGGGGTGAAGGAGACAGTGACGGGTCCTCAGGCATTAGAGTCTCATAAGGAGTGTGCAACCTAGATCCCTCACGTGCACAGTTCACAGTAGGGTTTGTGCTCCTGAGAGAATCTAATGCTGCTGCTGATCTGACAGGAGGCTGAGTGCAGGCGGTGATGCCAGTGATAGGGAGCGACAGTAAGTACAGAGAAGCTTTGCTCACTCGTCCACCGCTCACCTCCTGCTGTGCTGCCTGGTTTCTAACAGGCCTCCGTGGCCGGGGTCTGGATCCCTTGTTCTGTGTCACCCACTGCTCTAAACTGCACCTGAAGGAGATATTTGAGCGTGGATTACTGGAGTATGGATGACTCCCATGCAGTGCAGACAGGGAAGACGAAAACAAGAAATAAAGAACAGGGGTATTGGAGTAAAAAAATCAAGGGAAGACAAAAGGGGGTGGGGAAGAGACGAAAATAATAAAAAGTAAAGAGAAAAAAAAAAAAGGATAAGGTCAAAAAGGACAACAAGTGGAGTTTTAGAAAGGGATGGAAGGGCAGACCCACGCACACAGGAAGAGAGAGAAGAGCCAAACCAGGGTCCTGGGAGATCAGGACAGAGACAGAGATGATGGCAGAGAAGCACAGGGGTGTTTTAGAGTGACCAGGACAGACACAGAGATGATGACGAAGAAACACAAGGGTGTGTTAGAGGCTGAATGTTAGGAATTCAGAAAGCAATTTCCTCATGACGTGTATTTTCAATGTTGTTTCATTCCTGCAGCTCCACCTCTAGAGAAGTGGCCCATGCTGTTGATGATGTGAGTATACAATTTTCCTTGCAAACTCTATTCAGAGAGCAGCTTCCTGCTTGGTGGGTCTCCATAGTCCCCACAGATCCCTGCAATGGAGAGCAACTCAGAGACTGAATGAATAGAAAGTAACTTATTTTAGGCTTTCTTAGTTAAGAAGAATTTTTTTTTTCTTCCTTGATTTCTATTGGCACATGAAATTAAGCATTTGACACGCTTTCCTTGTGGGAAACCAGCTCCTGACCCGTAGTGCTATGTGAGGAAGTTACTTCACTTCCATTTATTTTCCAGCCCAAATGATCAATGAGTGCAAATATGAGCAGGTTCTAAAATGTAGAGCACCAGGAAAAGAGACATAAATAGAAAATCGATGATATCAAGTGTGAACTTTGTGATTCTAAACTGGAATCAAGCGTAATTGTGTTTCTCCTGAAACGCCTCCGTGCTTTTTAGTTTTAGCCATGAAAAGGCCGAGAAGTCAGAAGGAGCAGCCCAGCACCCCAGCTGGGGTCTCTGAGGACCAAGCCCACTGCAGGAGAGATGCTCACATTAGACAACTGGAGTCTAGGCTGGGAAAGGAAGTGGGTGGGAGGAGCCTGGGGCGCTTCCGGGCTGAACAGCAAGGGCGGCCTCAGAATGGGGGGGGCTGTGTCCCAGCACATGGAGCCCACCTCAGGCACTCCCTCAACGCGGGATAGAAGCATGGGGATTAACGAGGGGCTAGAGCAGATTGAAATACATCATTATATTTACAATCTTGAGTTCATAATAATGATTTTTTAAAAGGACCTCACGTTACTTTTTTGAGTGCTAGAACATCGACTCATTATTCTAAAAAGTGATGGAAAGAGGAAAGCGCTGTAAGGTCCTTCCTGTAGGAAACATACTCAGGGCAGATGCATGGTTTTTGAGGGAACAGAAGATTCTAGGTAATAAACTCAACAAATGATAAAACTGGAAACCATCATCTGAAACCCCCAGTGAAATAGTGACTCTAGGCTCCTCAGAGGTCGCTGCTCAGAGTTGATGGGATCTTCACGACAAGGGCTCAGGGTTGCCTCAAACCCTCTAAGCATTCGCAGCTCCCCTGAAGTTGGGATGCAGGGACAGGATGTCCTGAGAAGGTGCAGCAGGTGGGACACAGCGGGACTGATGAAGCACTTTTGCTTCAAAATCAAATCAGCATCTACTCAAGTCTCAAGGACTGTCATTTTAAAGGAGAGGAAACCATCTACCAAGTCCAGAGTGTGGACATTTCACAGAACAGACTGCCTGCCTTCTCTAATAATAAGTTTTGTTTTTAAAGGCAGAAGAACACAGTAGAATGAGATGAGTCAGCCTCAGTGCGACCTGGTTTGGAGCCTGGCGTGCACAAGCCGATTGTCACAGGCATTGTTGGAACAGTGGGGGAAGTCCGAGTGTGTCCTGGGTGTGTAGGGAGCAAACCTTCTCCTGTACCCTCCTAGGGTCCCTGGCAGGGCCTGAGAATGGAATTGGCCTAAGGCAGGTTGACGGGGAAGAACATCGGATTTGTTGAATGTGGGGTCTACCTGACACGGAGCCCCACGGGAAAGGAAGACTGAGGAGTGGCACAGCCTGCACGCTGCCCTGTGGTGTTGGGCAGAGGCCACGGTGGACAAGCCACCAAACAAGATGGGAGATGGAGGGAAGGCGAGGGCTGTGCTAACAGGTCTATCTGTGCAGAGCCACTCAGCTTCGACCCTGTATTCGTCAGGGATCTCTAGAGGGACAGAACGAATGGAATAGATGTATATGTAAAGGAACAGTTTATTAGGTATGAACTCACACAATCACAAGTTCCCTCCACAGCCATCTGCAGGCTGAGGAGCAAGCAGAGCCAGTCCGAGTTCCAACTGAAGAACTTGGAGTCCAATGTTAGAGGGCAGGAAGCATCCAGCACGGGAGAAGGATGTAGGCTGGGAGGCTAGGCCAGTCTCTCTTCACAGTTTTCTGCCTGCTTTATATTCAGCTGGCACCTGATTAGATGGTGCCCACCCAGATTGAGGGTGGGTCTGCCTTTCCCAGCCCACTGACTCAAATGTTAATTTCCTTTGGCAGCAGCCTCACAGCCACACTCAAGATCAATACTTTGTATCCTTTAATCTGCTGATCAAGTGGACACTCAGTATTAACCATCACAGACCCCAGCTACCAACGAGAACATGCTTTGCTCCTGGCCCAGCGAGGGCGGCTCTTCATGGGAGGGTCAGGTCCTGCCTTCAGTGCAGGAGGAAGAGGGGAAGCCGGAGTGCTCTGCGTGAGCCTCCAGCTTCTCAGGAGCCTTTAAGTAAAGATAATCCTGATGCCAAAGTGGCATATTTTGGGGTGACATGTTCTGCCACTCTCCATGTGACCCTAATTTTATAAAGTGTGATGAATGGCATGGTGATTGTATTGTATAATTTCTTGGTTTTTTAGAGATGGGAGGTCTCACTATGTTGCAGGCTAGTCTTGAACTCCTGGCTCATGTGATCCTCCTGCCTTGGCCTCCCAAAGTGCTAAGATTGTAGACCTGAGCCACCACACCGGGCAAATTGTGCTTTAAAAGTGTTCTTATCATTTAAAAATGCAGCCTGTAATACTTAGCGATAAAACGATCCGTTGTCTGGTTTTGAATGTAAAGTATGCCGAGGAAAGGGAGGTGGATTGTGCAGGAATATCTGTAAAATAAGATTGGCCGGATGTTCAGCACTTGTGGTGCCAGGTGATTGCACCTGAGGACGTGTCGTGCTGTTTCCCCCATTTCTGCGTATGTTAAAAAGTCCCCAGTGAGAACAGTTAAAAAAAAAATGCTGGGGCCTCTCCTTCATTCTGCTTATTATGGTGATCACAAGATGAATTTAGAAAGCACATGAAATTCTAACCATTTCACTAACATTGGTAATTTTGAATTTAACATGAAAGTCTCAGGTCACGTAGGACACGATGGTCATTTTGAAGATGATTTTGTGTCACGTTGATTACCATACGTCTCGTTTGCGGTTCTACAAGGCGTGTCACCTGAATCAGTCTGATGATGGTTACATATTGCAAACTTTAGAAACCCTTTTTTAAAAGGTAGTTTTAGTTAATGGATTATATTTTTTAAAGAGGCCAAGAAAATTGATATAACCGTACTTTAAAATTGCTCTTACTATGTCCCTGGAAAGAAAAACTTTTACAATTCTTTATTTTAAAGTATTATTGATGGATTGATTGATTGATTCATTGATTGATTCAGCTTTATTTAGGTAAAATCAACAAAAATTGTATATATTCAACATCTACAAGATAATTTTATATACAGATGTATATGATTACCATCCATCTTTGGATGACACGTGGTAATCAATTTTACAATGAAGGCCGGGCGCAGTGGCTCACACCTATAATTCTAGCACTGTGGGAGGCCGAGGCAGATGGATCACCTGAGGCCAGGAGTTTGACACCAGCCTGGCCAACATGGTGAAACCCCGTCTCTACTAAAAATACAAAAAATTAGCTCAGTGTGGTGATGGGCGCCTGTAGTCCCAGCTACTTGGGAGGCTGAGGTAGGAGATCACCTGAATCTGGGAGGGGGAGGCTGCAGTGAGCTGAGATTGCATCATTGCACTCCAACCTGGGCAACAAGAATGAGACTCCATCTCAAAACAAAAACAAAAGCAAAAACAAAACATACAATGAGTAAAATGATTACCACAGTCAATGGTAATGACTCCCAGGATGGCTAAAGAGTAGAAAGGGGGATTTTATCGGTGATATCAGTTTGCAAACTGAGAAGAGACAGTCTCCAGCTCTCTCTGTTAAAAGGTGAACTGTAGGACACAGAGTTTGCGCACAGTCTGTATAAGCTGGTCAAAAATAGCTGGAGGTCTGCAGCTGCTTCTCAGGAAAGAATTGTGCAAGGCTGATCCTCTGCCTAATCAGGGTTGCAGTGGTCTGGGTTGTAAATCAGAGTTAGGGATTTTCCTGATGGCTCCTGTTGTTAGGGAGTTTAGCAAGAGTGTGGTTTTTCTTGTAGCCATAGGAATTTAGGACGCTGTCAGGCAGCCAAGCCCTAAACCCCTGACTCATAGGTACCTTTTATTTCCTTAACCTTAGGGTCCATCTTAGTTGATGAAGAAGCATCTATTGGTCTCTCAGATCACGTCTCCCACTTGTGGTCAGTCATAGCTTGGATTTCTGTGGGCTCATAGGCCTCTTATCTTAAATGGCCTGAGAGGGAACTTCATGGATTTGTTGTTCTTTCCTTTAACAGAACATTCTCTTTAGTTTACTGTATGGATTTGGCCTACCTTATGAAGGAATACTGTATGGATTTGGCCTACCTTATGAAGGAATTTCTTCCTTGAAGCCAAAAAAGATTCCCATGAAACTTTTCCTGAAGCATTTCTTCTATGTTTTCTTCCAGTAGTTTAATCACTTTGGGCCTCACATTTAGGTCTTTGATCCATTTTGAGTTGACCTCTGTATAGTGTAAGAGGTGGGAGTCTAGTTTCATTCTTCTGTATATGGATTTCCAGTTTTCTTAGTACGATTTATTGAAGAGACCATCCTTTCCTCAATGAGTGTTGCTGACATCTTTGTTAAAAAATCTGTTGGCTATAGATATGTTGGTTAATTTCTGGGTTCTCTATTCTGTTCCACTGGTCTATGTGTTTGTTTTTATGCCAGTACCATGCTATTTTGGTTACTATAGCTTTGTAGTATATTTTGAGAGCAGGTAGTGTTATTTCTCCAGCTTTGTTCTTTTTTTCTCAGCATTTCTTTGGCCATTTGGAATCTTTTGTGGTTCCATACAAATTTTACAATTTTTTCAATTTCTGTGAAAAATGTCATTGGTACTTTGATAAGGATTGCATTGAATCTCTAGATTGCTTTGGGTTATATTGTCATTTTAACAATTTTAATTCTTCCAATTCTTGAGCATGGGATATCTTTCCATTTGTTTGCATCCTCTTCAATTTCTTTCATTAGTGTTTTGTAATTACCCTTTTAGGGGTTTTTTA